GGGAGCTGGCTCCCGGCAACGCGAGGGACGCCCTCCACCCTCGGCCCACGTAAACCAAGTGTGCCCACTGTGAGAGCCGTCTGGAGCACAGCTTAGACAAAATAAGGCGTAGCAAATCAGACGTTGTGCTTTTCTGACGCCCGGCTTACTTATTGTGAATCGCTTTCCTCTGAAATATTCAACCTTCTGGGGGGGCCAAGTGGAGGTTCTCAACCTTTTGAACATCAAGCATTCCTTTATTCGTTACGCCCCCACGGACTCCAGGAAGAGTCTGTTTCCCTGTTCTAGTTAGTGACTAACACCTAAGCAGAGGTTCCCATCAGCAGGAGCGATTTTGTTCAGTCTATCAGACAAAAGCTGAAAGTTCTGCTTACTTTGTGCAAATTTGTGGCTAAAGGCATCATTTCCTGTAGGTTTTTTCAGACACTGGAAACAGCTGCAGACCCTTCACTTACTAACTCTGGGACCCCAGGCTCGCTGCCCTAACCCTCATCACCAAGGGGACCCAGCCTCCCCCCACCCCCCAGACGTGGATTCAGGAGCATATTTAGGAGCTTTAGGAGCATATTTAATCAACACAAGGGGACGTCCTTTCTTACAAGGTGATTAATTATTGGTGCATGCAAGTGGAATGAGGGTGTCTGTACTTGACCGAGGGACGGTGGGCAAGACCATTTCTCCGAGCTCGTTCCCTCTTCGGGAATAGAACATGTTCTATAAAATTTTCATCAAGATATTTTAAAAGGTTAAGGGACTTGTCTGTTTTAATTGTCATTTAAAAAAGATAATTTCTAAGGCGAATTGGAAAATGCGGAACACACCCTAAGCACAAAAGCACCCTGTGGTCCCCAGCATGAAGGGCCCGTCAGGGAGGCGTGGCCAGCTCTGCTTGGGGTCCCGTGAGGGGCAGCGGCTGAAGGGCCACGCGGAATACTCACTCTCGGGTCAGCAGACAGACCTCCTGCTTTGCCTCCTGGGTGGTCAGCACCTCACGCTTGGGCCCAGACGCTGCTGTGCGACCGTCTTTGGCCAGAAGGTCAAAAATGTCGTTATTATAAACTTCCACTATGGACACGTCAACCTTCAGGCTCCTTGACGGGTTTTCTGAGATAAGCCTGGGGATGGGGGGACACGAGGGACTTGGGTAACCCCTTGGAGAAAGCTGTGGAAGAATGGCTTTCAGAAGGAGGTGACAACACTCGGCATTAGGGCAGCATCTTACTAACAGCACAAGCACGCAGGAAGACTGGAATGTTCCCTTCACATTGTAGGGTAAGTACCCGCCTTGGGAACAGCGATTTTATCTGAGTTGTATCTAAATCAACGACTCTGGCCCTCAGTACCCTTAGGATCCCAAGCCCACGAGGAGAAGAGGCACAGAGAACTCGTGGCCTCGACTCGGAAAGCCCCCCTGCCCCCGGGTCTCATCCCCGCACAGGAGCCCAGAGGATTTCCAGCACTGTTCCGGAACCCGGGCTCGCCTCGTCCACACGCCTGGAGACAGACCCACAACCCCACCCAGGGGGAGAGTGGCCACCCGCACAGCCCCTCACCACTGAGGCCCCCCCGTGTCTTGTGGGGGTCACGGCTTCCCCGACGCGCACACAGTTAAGGCCCATTTCACTCTGGCTAGGATGCCTTCCTGTCCGTAAGGGAGTCCTGGCCCCGGGCTGGAGCCCGTGTGGGCGGCCTGGCACTTCGGGAAAACGCAGTCTGGGTGTGTCTAATCCAGGCACTGCCGGCTCAGGGGTTTCCTTAGGAGCCACGAGGGAGCCAAGAATAAAATGAGCAATCCTTGTCTCCCGGTGACACGGTCACGAAAACGAAAAAAGGTAAAATGAGAGAAAAATAAATTAAATCCTCCCGGGAAGAGAGTTCCTGGCACAGACCTCGGATTGGGGTTACTCTCGGTGCTGGGGTCTCCCCGGGGCACTCGAGCAGAGTGACCCTCCAGCCCGAGACACTGCTGGGTGGGGGCCACGCGTCCCCTCCTCACGCCAGAAGATCACAAATGTGACCTCGGCGTGGCTCCCTGCCCCGGGTGACAGGCCGTGTCTCTGGCTGTCACAAAACCCGGATTAGAGGTCTCTCATCCACACAATACAGGGAGGGAGAGCTCAAGTGAAGATCTTCTTCCAGGAAATTAGGTCCTCGATTGATTCTTTGTCCCTCAGCTCGCTGGCTTCTGCCAACAGTGCTGAAAGGCGGTTCGGTCTTGGCCTCGAAGAAGCCGGTGTGTGGCCGGCAAGTAACGCATGTTCCAGTTACAGCACAGTGTGATGCGTCTTACACACAGGTGTGCGAGGCCCCGCGAGGCTCCAAAGGGGGGCACTGAGGCAGGGCGGGCGTCCCCTCCCCTCCTCCCTCCGCACGTGCTGCTGGATCGTCACCGTCCGGCTGCCTTCACTCTGGACTTTCTGAGGGCGGAAAGTCACCACGCTCACCCTGTGAATCCCTCGTGCCCTCGGCCCGGCGGCCAGAAAACCCTCCCGATGTCTGCCGATCGGCTGAGATCACCCGGGAAGGACGCGGTGGGAGCCCCGGGCTCAGGAGGGCCCGAGAGGGTCCCCGGGGGGCCGTCATCCTGTTTACAATGGCAGGGCCGCCCTTGGTAACCTCGGCCGTCCGAGACCAAGATTCTTTAGGGTGAAAGGTTCACGAAAACATCCTCCAAGATCAACGCCCGGGGTCCAAAGGCTCCAGTGAGGGGCACAGAGGCTGGACCGGCCGCTGCCCCGGGGCCCCTTCCCCGGGGCATCCGCCGCGGGTCCTCTCCCTGACTCCCGGGTCCCTGCCGTGTCCCTCCTTCCACGTGACAGCTGGGAGAGCTACGGGCCGCTGCCCGGGGAGGCTTCCCTGGGGGAGAAGCCGTCGGCTCTCGGACCAGCCCCGGCCTGGCTCCGCTGAGGACGCCCATGACACCCGCTGGGGTTCTAGCCCCTTGAAATTCAGTGTCCCCACATGGAGGTCTCTGTGACCTGCGGTGGGCAGGCTGAGCCGCCGTCCACAAGCCCCCCACCCACCCTGGGGACTGATGTGCTCCTCCCCAGGGCGGGGGGTGGGGGGGGAGGCCAGGGCTGGCCACGGGCCCTCCTCCCCCATCTCTGACAACGCACACCCTCAGGAGGGGCAGGCCCCCTCACTGGCCTCGCGGCCACTGAGCTTTCTAGAATGGTTGTGACACAGCACAACCTCACCTGGGCTGACAGGTCGTCAGTAAACTTAATAAATGCACGTGTCTGTGTGCACAAATACTTAAAGAATATCGGTTTAGGGGCGCCTGGGTGGCGCAGTCGGTTAAGCATCCGACTTCAGCCAGGTCACGATCTCGCGGTCCATGAGTTCGAGCCCCGCGTCG